AAGAAAAAGAAGTTCAAATTCCGCGTGGAGCTGGAACTGGACGAGCTCTCCTCGGTGCCCTTCGTCAACGGGATCCTCTTCTGCAAGGTGCGGCTGCTGGACGGCGGGAGCTTCAGCGGAGAGGCCTCCAGGTACGAACCGCCTCCGCCCCCGCTAGCCCGGCCAGGAGGTGGCTGCCGGGGGTCTGGCGTGGCCTCAGACACCTGTTAGTCTTCAGGAGCCACAAGAAATGATCATTCGGGGTTGGCTGGGGGAGGAATAATAATATGGACGATGGCTATTGCTGCTCTTCCTCGCTCGCTGCTAGGATGCAAAATCGATCTCCACCAGACCTGGAGACCCGCGAGCGCTATCTAAGTCAAGCCCTTCAAATCCTCATTCCCCGGATCTGTTTACAGCGCCGGGGCTGAGTTCACGGGAAAGCGCCTGCGAAGCAGTGATGAAGTGAGTGGCTCTGACCCCGCGCGGAGCATCATTTTCATCCTTGGATAGTCAGATCGTCTTCTTCCAAAGGGTTGAAGTTCAGTATTGGGATTCCTAGAGGAGTGGTTCTGGTTTCTTGACAAATGAAGCTCTAGTCTTCAGTTTACAGGAGCCATGACCGCACCTTTAACAGAATTGCAAACAGTTCCATACATCCCTCCTAGAAGATGTATGCATTATTTCATTAACTCTCGGAATAGTCCTCGGGTAGATGTAAGACAGTCTTATGAAATACAGTAGAATTTCTGCTGCTGGAAAGAACCAAAAAGTAAGGTCCAACACTCAAAGCTGATATTTTTACCCACCTGTTTCTTATAAAATCAGATCAGAATAAGGGAAAAAACTGTTTATTTGTTTTGTGCCATTTGTGAACAGCAGTGTACCACACCAAGAGGTCAACAGAATAGTTATTAACCTTAGCTGACTTAAGCAACATACTATAGAACTCAGATTTTGAAAACTCCCTCTGAATTATGAATAGGTTACATGTAGGATGTACATTATTAGGTATCTAGGTGGCATGCAAGTGATACTGTGGAGATTTTGAAACTAATAATAACAGGCTTCAGATTTCTAATATTTCTAATTTCATTTCTAAGATTTCTAATATTAAGACAAATTTATATGCAAAATATGTGCCTATAGGTGGCAGTCCATGAAATCACCAGGAGTTGAGTCTGACTTGAGGACTCCTTTACTTTTAATTTGTACATAATAGTGTTAGGGAACTTATAGCAAGCTCTGTTTTGGAGCTTGACTCCTAATAACTTCAGTAACTCCTCCATCTATTTGTATTGGCAACAATACAGGAGTGGTCTGACACTGCATTTTTCCTGAATGTTTTTTCAGCTTCCCAGTCTAGCATCCTATTCAGATATTTCCTGGAATCTCCCATCCAATCCTGCTTAGTTTTTTGAGTTTGGCTAAGTGTTGCTAACTATCTGGGTACTGTGTGCCTACTGGTGTATACTTGTGAAACAGAGGGAACTTTCAGAACCAATTTGAGATATGGCTGTTGGATTTGCTATTTCAAAATGAAAAGGCAAAAAACTCATTGAGGTTCTTCAGTTCTTTAAGTAACCTAGAATAAATGCAGTTGTGTAAAACATTGAAAATTCATGAAATCGGGTCTCATTTCCTTAGTATGTGTATAATTTTGGTATCAGTTTTAATAACATGTAACTATTTGATCCTTATCTATTATTATTTGACGGGTGCTGTTCGTCTTTCAACATAATGTATGCTTGATTGTTGCTGTTTTACTAACTTGTGGAAATAATGAATACAAAGCTATAGGCAGCACTTGTCTTTGAAGTGCGTTAAACATGAAGATTTTTTCCAATATATTTTTAATATTCATTTGACAAAATCTGCTTTGCCTCATTACCAGTGGATTTGATCCACTGTTATGTTCAGATGATGAGAGCGAGAGAGAAAGAGATCTAAAATCTGTGATAAATGTTAGTCTTTCATTAAACATGAAAGATCTTTATATTTTGCCCCTTTGGATTATATTATTTACCTGAAAGACTAAAAAGGTTAAACTTCAGATAAGAAAAAGTGCATGTACTACTTAGAACCAGCAGGTTCACAATGTTAAGTTGGTGACTCTAGCCTAGCAGTTGGTACTGATTTCCTTAAAATTTACAGTGCCAATAATCATGGTGCTAAATTGTAGGGGAATTATTTAGGAAAGTATGGATCATGAATCAGCTTCAGACTTTCCCTCTCACAAGTGATACACAGCTATAAATTGAACTATACATCTTTAAAATGGGGAAAATGTTATCTTTGTACCCTTATACAGTGATATCAGTAGGAAATCCAGTTTTCAATGAATATGGTGTATTGTAGCTCTGATTATTTTAATTGTGATGGTTGTGATGAAATATTAAAGTTGAATGATGATGAAAGTTTAAGGCGTTGCCTGCAGTGTTCTTAAGAACGTTCTTATGACAAGCTGAACATTAAAACATCCCATTTTTAGGTGCGGAATTTTGACCAGATAATTTATTCAGCATATGCAGTTCCTTCTTGTATTTGAAATGATATCAAAGTTAATAGCTCCTGCCTACCATATATTTTATATGCAGAAATACTTTCTATTTCAATAGTATGTGTGTGTCAATTACAATGCATTTTCTTGTTGTAGTAAATGAAAATGCACACTATTTCCTGAGCCAGAGGTACATTTTATTGACCAGTAGCTTTGATATATGTAATGCAGCACAGTAAATCCAAACCGAAAGTTCTGAATTATATATATATATATATATATCTGATATATCTTCTTTTTATATATATAAAAAGA